GGGAAAACCCTGAATTCCTGGACCCTAACATTATGGTCTTTTCTTTTTTCTTTCTTTTTTTAAGGTAGGGTGTTGTGAGAGTGAATAGTTGGCCAAGAGTAGCAGGAAAGCTGTTCCCAGTCTCTGACTTCATACAAAGGCGTCCTACTTAGAGGCTCTTTATTATTTGCTTATGGGAAAAACTCCCAGAGCATAGCTTTGCCTCGCTGGTTCCACGCATCGCTGTGTATGTGAAATTGGCTTAAAAGAGCCCCATGCTAGTTGTCATTACAAAGACAAATCCTGCACCTTGGGGAAAAAGGAAGTCAATAAGATGAACACCTTCAAACTGATGTTTCAGGAGTGCAATCGCTTTAGAGGAAATTAATCCCAGTAGGGGGCTTTAAAGAGGAACAAAGCTTGAAAAACAACCACATAAAATTGTAGTGATGCCAGGAGGAACTAGTTCTAAATGAAGCACATTCTTCACGTTTTCTGTTAACAGTGCCTTTCGGTTTTATCTTTTTGTTTTTAAGACATAGGAGTATACAGAATTGTAGGGCTTCTCAGTAGTTCACTCCTCCTAATACCCCTGGTTTCTTGTTTTGCTCTTGCGTTTACTGACATGTACTACAGACTGACAGTAGACTAGAATACAAAATGTTTATAATTTTTTCTCATGTAAGAGAGCAATGAATTTTTCCTAATGATACTCTAAGTCTTTTATAAGTTTTTGATTTGGCATAATTTCTTAAATCCTCCCAGTGGACTGTTCTTCAGAGGTTGGATTATAACTTGTGGAGTTAAACTTTCACAAATCAAGTTACTTAAATCAACTTATGAAATATAAGACAGAGCATTATTCTAGGAAGTTTCTACAGGTTCAGGATCTCCATTACCCCGGGTACTTTCTAGGATTTAATTCAATGTGCCCTTCTAACTCTGCTTTTTAAAAACTGGGTGTAAGATGGAACCTGGCATTGAGTGATTGGAGCAATGTATTACATATTATTATGATTATGGCTAACCATTTAATAAGAATCTGTGACTTTCGGACAATAAGTGGGAGTTGAGGATGAGGTAACTTTTTTTCTTTAGAAGTTCACACCACCAGCGTGAAGGTAAGCACAGAACCAGATACTCAACACTGCTTCCATTTATTCAGCTGGTGTGTATGTTACAGGAAGCTACTGATGCCATGGTTCTTGTTTGCGGAGCCGAAGAATGAGCTTCACAAACAGTCAAGGTAGGAGAGCAAGGTACAGGCTTTTATTTAGAGATACAGTGAAAGGACAGAGCTCCTGGCTCATGCCAGGAGGGGACAAGAGAGTCCATAGTGGTATGTTGTCTAGGGGGTTTTATAGGCAGCTGAGGATTTTTCGAGAACATGAAAAAAACTTAGGGGTGTGGACTTGTTAAGTGGTCCCTGAATATTTGGAATTAACTTAACACAAGCAACTTGTGAGATACCAGCATCTTGGTCTGGGGGCATATGAAACAAGGCCACCTGCTCAGCCCCCAAGGTGGGCTGAGGTATTGTTTGCTGAAGAGTAAGTTAAGAATTTCTAACGTCTTAACTCCTTGGGTATTAAAATGCAATCTTATCTTTAAGGTGGAATCCTTCCTGCTCTTTACTGTGTTGTTTATGCCTGGGCTTACTTGCTAAATTAGTTGTCCAGTTTGCAAAATCACTTCATCAGATCTGAAGGAGAAAGAGCACATAGTCCTGGGCCTTTTAGTATGCTAAAGAGAACCTTACACACGATTATAAATGGTTAGCATAATAAAACATGTGCTACTCTTCTTTATCTGGGGAACATTAACTGATTTCACTGAAGAATGATTCTAGAGCTCAATGTTTAACATAGAGTTTTAGCAGGGGGATTTCCTTGCATGTAGTTACATTGCTCTGACTGCAAATATCCCGCCCTGCCCCCTCTGGAGGCCCTCACCCTACTCTGACTACATCCATGGTCCCTGTCTCACTACTTACAGGCACTAAATGCATTGATGTAAAAATAAAAGTTCATTTAAAATTGGCCTTAATTCTAAAGTTCATTTTAACATTTCATTACTTCAATCAGGATAAAATATATAATTTCAGTAACTATAAATAGTGTGTAAATAACATGTGGTCCAAAACAATGCTTAAAAGTCTCCCAAATAATGAAACAATTGTTGCACAACAAAGAAAAATACATTCAGGAGACTATGTAGTGGGATGTTATTTTATGCAGTATTATTCTTTCTCAGGGGTTAGTTGGGCGAAAAGAACATACTTATGTGTTTAGCATTTTAACATTTCCAAGCTTGATGAAGGGCCTTAAAATAAAAGTTTTGAATGCATAAGTAGTTAAATTTTGTCTACAGGGACAGAATTTATATTATTGACAATACTTTCCAAGTTAATAGTGGGTGCTTTCCAAAAGAGAACTGATCAGTAGTTCTAGAGAACTAATAACTGTTTTCACTTTTAAAGGGCTTTAAAATCTGTGACTATATTAGCCAGATTTCAAGGAATGGGATTCAGACTTAGCAGGAGGCTCTTGACAAAGCTCCCCTGCTGTGCAGCCAGCTGAGGCTGGGACACCAGCGGTTTCTACCGCTGGCTGGTTTCTGCAGCTAGTGCTGCCCCACACACGCAGAGAGACCACCACCTGAAGGACAGGACGCCTTCACTGCAACCCAGTGTCAGGACTGATAGGGGGCGCGTCCTATTTCCGGGCCACACGAATCCAAATGACACTTTCGCCAGGCTCTGGAAACAGCAGATACTGTTCTTTGAAAGCCTCCTTAACGTTGACTTCTCTCCATTTGCTCCCTTTTCCTCCCATTCTGCTTGTAGTGCCTATTCTGTGAATTAATTCAAAAGCTCAAGCACGAAAGCATGAGTTATTCTCCTGCTTAAAACCAACCCGTGTCTTTGTTTCTTGGAGAGTTCTGAGGGCTCTTTATCAGAAAAGTTCATTATTTGATAGTTAATCTCCCTGTGCAGGATGGGCTCATTTTCTCTCAGCTACACCCAAGTCATATTTCAAATTTTCCTTCCAAAGAAGTTCTCCTGGGAAAGTCCATGACTAATAGAGTCATTACAGATGTTCTCTGTTAAACCAAACTAAAAGTCAAATGAAATTAGAAAGGAAATGATGCACCTGAAAGAGTCCTTCACTGGATGTCAGGGGACTGGGCCTCCAATTCTGGTTTGACAACTTGCTAGGGGTGCCTGATTTCGCCTTGCCTGGTCTTGACTGAATTTCACTTCCCACACATTGTTTATATAAACTTTATCAATGTAAATTAAATAAAATTAACATATTGTATCTCATCAATGCATTTATCAAAGCAATAAATATTTATTAAATAAAAATATATACCTATATAATTACGAATGTAAGGATGAAATATATAAAAATATAAGATATATCATTATAACTCTATTATATAATTAATATGATATACAACTGATTTTATACAATCTGTATTATGTAATATATAGGCTATATAATCTTATTATTATTTTACATATTTTATCCTTACAGTTGCCCAAAGGGTGAGGTTTGTCTCTTCCAGCTGTAGGAGAGTTGGTGGAGTGTCAGAAACGGCCTAGTGAGCATAATTAATGGAATAGAGTGGTATTTTATACTTTAAATATAAAATATACTTGAATATTTTATAAGCTCTTCAAATAAAAATATGTATTCATATGTATTTAATCTTTATGTCATCTGGATAGGAGCTCAGCCTTGGAGACTTAAGAGGGACGATATCCCTCATAGACTTAAATATAATTTTATATGTTCACATCCTCCTTTTACAGATGAGAAAACAGAGCCCCAGGGAATTAAGCCCAGTCCCCCGCCTTCTTCTCCACGTCGCTTTTACCACGACCGACTCTACCCCTGCATGCGGGGTCGGGACGGTCAGGCGGCCCGCCGATCCGCGGGCCCTTCCGAGAGGTCTCTTCCTAGCGGAGTCCCCGGCGGGGTGTCTTCGGGATCCGCCCCGGGGGCGGGGGGCTCCGTCCCGCCCCGCTCAGCTGTGCTGGGGATAAACGGGCGGCCCGCGGGCGCCAGGAGGCTCGGGAGCGCAGGCCATGGGCTGCGGCGCCAGCAGGAAGGTGGTCCCTGTGCCGGCCGCCCTGAACCCGGCCTCGCGCGAGGGTCAAAGCCGAGGCGGCCCTGGAGGGGCAGGACCCCGGCCCGAGGCGCCAGCCGAGGCGGCTCGCAGGATGCAGGTGGCCCGCTTCCGAGCCAAGTTCGACCCGCGGGTCCTCGCCAGGTAAAGCGCCAGGTGAAGCGCCGGCGGAAGGGCTGGCCTGGGGCTGGGCTGAGGAAGGTTAAACCAACCACCGATCAAAACCGACCTCACGTTCCCCTAGCTCGACTCAGCCTCAGACAGCCTTCTTTCTGAACTTTCCCTAAATTCTTTCTCTGCGCCTTTCAGATCTAAGTTTTCTACAGTTCAGGAATGCCCTTCGCAAGGGCCTGGGTGCCATCCTTTTAAAATGTAATCGGGGGCTCCAAAATCTCAGCGTCTGTGGAAGGGCGGGAGCCCAACTTCTATAAGCACCAATTAGCCACACCGGTGGCCTGACCACACCCGCTCCCACTGCACATCCGCAGTACCTTCCACCAGCGAACCCCGGCGCTTAAAACTCTTGCCTTTTGTTTCAAAGAAATTCGGTCAGTGTCTCTCCCCTGTTGAATAGTTTTGACCCATATTGCAGTAGTCCAGAATAAAGTCTTCCTTGCTGTCTTTAAAGAGTGTCCATTGCAATCTCTCTTTGACACCTCTAAGCATAGTTGTCCAATAGCAGAGGAGAGGGAAAATTCAACACTGAAAGGATTGGAGGAGTTGCAGCAGCAAGAGAAGGGAGGCAATCCCTGACCCCAGCTGGGCAGGTGGAAGCCATCCAACCCACAGGGTCTATGGGAGCCTTGCCACAGATATTCTGGGCTTGGTTTGGGAAGGATCTTTTCTCAGCTCTAGAAAAAGATCATAGTTAGTGGAATAGAAACAAACCTTTGACTCCAGCTGCGCTTGAGATCCAGTCCTGTCTCTTCTATCAGATGTCATTTGGAATGTTTCTCAGTTTCTGCCTCTGTAAAATGGGAATAATAATTTCTACCTCATAAGAACGTTGTGAGGATAACTAAAGTATAAATGTGAATTATGCTGCACAGCACATGGCACAATGCCTCATTTAGATATTAGTGCAATACTACTATTGTCTTCATAAGGCACACGTAAGACCTAGCTGACTGTAAGAAATGAGCAAGGATGGCAGGTGGGTTGGCCTGAAAAATAATTTCCTCAGAGTGCGTCCTGTTGGACATCTGGAGGAGGGAAACCATGGAATCTTCTCCACACTGCAGTGTTTCGTGGTGGAAGGCTCGACTGGCCTCTCAGGGACACTTCTCGTCCTAGAATTGTATGCTCACTTCATTACTGTGCTCTGACCAGAGCCTGTGCAGAGTCATTTCCTGGCCTCTGGGAACTTCCAGGACAAGGATGACTTGAGGATTAGTCCAGTAGCTATTCAGTTTTAAGAAGAACAAAGCTGGCTGATCCAACTGAACTTGAATCAGAGTGGATATGGCATCTTGTCAAGACTGAGTTGGTTAGATGGCATCCTGGTCATCTGTAGGCACGAAGATGAGACTGCTCCGGTCCAGTCTTTATCCACCCTCATCACCCCAATTCCAGGATAGTCCCAGCCCCTTGGAGTGTAAAGGGGTCATAGAAGCGGAGGATCTCATTGAAAGGGCAGTGGGGACTAACTCAAGGATGAGGAGTGGAGCCCCAGAAGTTTAAGTGAATAGTCCAAATTAGTGACAGAATTGCTTCTATCAGACTGGTTGGGATATTACTATTGTTTCCGTGTTTCATTTTTTTAATCCATGTTCAAAAAATTCCCCAAGTGTAGTAGCTAAAGTTAAAGTAATCATTTCAATCATTTCAAATGCAAGCTGACTTTCAAGCTGCTCTGTGGGGGTATGGGATTGAAGGGGTACAAGTGGAGAAAGTGGAATGGCTTTACAAATGCATTCTCCCATGCTTGAGTCAATCTTGATGTTTTTAAAATATATGGATAATTTGGGGATAATATGTGTTCAGTGAATGATTCTTCATTCAACATTAACTGCTGTCCCTTTTGTGCCAGACACCATACAAGATACATTGCTTGAGTCATAAAAATAGTCACCATCTGGGGCCATCAAGGCTCACAAGCAAGGTGGCAGCTTTGCTAATTTGCTGTGGGATATTTATTGTTCAATTTGAAACATTTATTTCCATTACTCCAAATTTTGGCTGAAAGCCTACTGTTTCCTCCAATGCCACATTACTGGCCTTTTTTTGAGTATTTGGTATATGAAGGTCCCTTAATAGTATTGAATAAAGCTCCTTCAATTTGAGCAAAAGAGCATAGTTTCTCAGAACTGGTAACTCCTCTGATATCTGATGATTAAGTCCACAGACGAATGAATCTGCCTGCAGTTTTGAGGGCATGGTGATAAATTAGTATTTGCAAAGTGCTTTCATCCACATTAAAGGTAATGTAAAACTTGGTTTGTCTTCAAAACAGTAGAATTTGAAATGCCAGTGATTATCTTCAAAATCACACTGGGAGTTCATGTGAATAAAAAAGCAGAGTTGGAAAGAGGAAAGGTGTTAGAATGTATTTAAAATTACTAAATTGCTATCTGTTTTGATAAGGTAATTGGCCAGATAATTAAATGCACTGTATAGAAAAAAGCTGTTTTCTGTAAGATGGCACAGCCAAATGCCATTTATATTCAGGAAGCAGAGGAATATAAGCAACAATAAGAAGGGAAGAAATATGGGAAGAAAAAGCTCAGCAAAAAAGAGGTAAGGCTATTTAAAGCTTAGACTGATACTTGCATTTAAGTAGTTGGTATTGAATATGTGTGGTGTAAAAAATTACCTTCACCCTGGTACTCCCTGAGTTCACTGCATTTGCTAGCAAGGAGATAATGGATTCTAATCCAAACTCCACAATTTAAACAACTGATTGGCTTACCTGGTCTTCACATTTCCTCATCTGTAAAATGAGGGGTTGGATCAAAGCATCTCTGATATTCTTTCCAGTTATAAAATCACGATTCCAAGTCTAGCACTTTCTCAACATTTCTTAAAGGTAGAGAGTTGAAATTAATAGGATTCTTAAACTGATGTAGACATTTACACAGATAATTCAAGTTTAAGATCCATAGCCTTTGAAATCCTAGCTGACTTCCTGGCCTTTCTGAGAGAAAGTTACATATCATTGACATGAATCTCATGTTTAGTGAGATTCTCATGTTTGCTTCATAGAAATTGCAGGAGCTGTGGGTGAGTTGATGAGAAGCCGGGGACAGCTGCTGGCTGCAGGGTGGTTCAACATCGCCCCCACCAGACTTTTGAAACTCCCCCTTGCAATAGCATACCATATTGTTTATTCACTGGTCATCTATTAAGGAGCTACTGTGGATGAGATATGAGATGTGTCTGGGACTGAGATCTCATGGTCAAGTAACCCAAAGAAGCCTACTTTTTGTACCCATCTCCTAATATGGTTTCCTTTCTCTTTTGAGAAGTTAAAACTAGGACTGAGATTCTTTTGAATTCTCTCCACCTGATAGAGTTGTTGTTTCAGGGTGATGTAAATGAGGACTAGAAGGAAGAACGAAAATGGTAGAGGAAGATCCTGAAATTCTTCAAGGAAATTTCGGTGAAACCCATTTGAAGGGGTTGGATTGAAATCCCATCCATTTCAACTACAATTTGTGTGGCCTTGGGAGATCACTTAACTTTTTAAATCTTTAATTTCCTTATCTGAAAAAGGGGGATAGTGCTATGTCCAATATCCCAGCAGGGATAATGTAAGGATAAGAATTTTAAAAAATTTCTGGCACATAATAAATGTATAATGAATGGTAGCTCTTGTTATTACAGTTATTTGTCTTCCCACCAACTAATTACTTTTATATCATTTACCTCCATTTCAAAAGAGGATTTGGGGTGGCTTTCAAAAATAATAAACACAATTAAGCAATAACAAGCAAGGAAATCAGAGGGGAAGATATAAATATAAAAAAAAAAGGTTGGAAAGCATTATGTTAGATAATTTTGAGAGTCATCTCTTCAGAGGTAACAGATTTGGTTTTTCTTCCCCCCCAACAGATATGACATCAAGGCTCTTATTGGGACAGGCAATTTCAGCAAGGTTGTCAGGGTGGAGCAGAAGACCACCAAGAAACCTTTTGCCATAAAAGTGATGGAAACCAGAGTGAGAGAAGGCAGAGAAGCATGTGAATCTGAGCTCACTGTCCTGAAGCGTGTCAGCCATTGTTACATTGTCCGGCTCATGGAGATCTTTGAGGCTCAGGATCGGGTTTACATGGTGCTGGAGTTGGCTACGGGAGGGGAGCTCTTCGACAGACTCATTACTCAGGGATCCTTTACAGAGCAGGATGCTGTCAGAATCCTCCGGATGGTTGCTGATGGCATTAGGTATCTGCATGCCTTGCGAATCACTCACAGGGACCTAAAACCTGAAAATCTCTTATTTTATCATCCAGGTGCAGAGTCAAAAATTTTAATCACAGATTTTGGTTTGGCACATTCTGGGAACAAAAGTGGTGACTGGACAATGAGGACACTCTGTGGAACCCCAGAGTACATAGCCCCTGAGATCTGGCTAAGGAAGCCTTACACCAGCGCAGTGGACATGTGGGCCCTCGGCGTGATCACGTATGTTTTGCTTAGTGGAGTCCTGCCTTTTGATGACGAAAACCATACAAGACTTTACAGGAAGATTCTGAAAGGCAAATACAATTATACAGGAGAGGTAAGAGATCATTTTATTCCTACTGAGCAGCGTTTCTCAACCTTGGCTCTGCTGACATTTAGTGCTGCATGAACCTTATAGGGAGGTAAGGTAGGGGATGAAGAAGCTGTTCTGTGCTCTGCGAGGTGTTTAAGCAGCATCCCTGGCCCCCACCACTAGTTATTAGTAGATACACTGCTGGTAGATATTGGGAGATAATTGGGAGATGCTGATATCTAGTAGATACTCTAGATACACATCTTCCTCCAGTTATGACAGCCAAAATTGTCTCCAGATATTGCTAGGTGTGCCCTGTGGGGCAAAATCACCCCTGGTTGAGAGCCTCTGGTTGAGTAAGAGCTTTGATTAGAGTTGTCTGTCATGTTAGCACATGACATTGATAATCAAGAAGACAAGTGAGTGTGTCTGCAGTTTTTCCTCCAGTCAGCATGCAGAGCCGGCAGAGTAGACGAAGGTGTATTCAGAAGCTCAGCGTGGTGTGGGGGTGTTTGGTGGAGATTTCTGCCTAGAATCTAGATGATCCAAGCCCTTTCTGTGATGTAGTATTCCTTCAGGGAAATGTTTGACTTCACAGCTTGTGTGAAGTATTTATCCACTGTTTAAACTTGGGACTCCCAGAGTTCATGAATGTGCTAAATTTTTGTTATTTTGGGTAAGGAAGGAAAGTTGTTAATGCTTATGAGTGGGAAGCAAGACAAAAAATAGGAAATTCATTTCAGGTTGAGCAAGTGACCAAATTTATTTTATGTTTAGCTATAAAAAGGTTTCTTTTTCCTCATAAAATACTGATAGTTTGATTATACCTACTTAAAGTTGAAAGCTAAATAATAAATTGAAAAATAAGATATTCTATACTACAGAGCTTTTATATCTTCTTGTACAGGCATACATCTCAAAAAATTCATATTAATTGGCAGTTGAGTACTAAGACTTACATTGAGAAGTAAGAAAGGATGGGAAGAATTCAGACAATGCAATATCATTGATTATTAAAAAATGTCCAGCTCACTATTAATAACTATAGAATATGCAAATGAAACACTTATTTTCTTTTTAGAATTTCAAACTGTTAAGATAAAAAAAAAACCTTCCTCAATTTAAAGCTATTCATTCCTGCTAAGAGTACTGAGATTAGTCCTGTCATTCACCACTGGCAGAGTGTGAATTGTTACAGATTTCTTGGAAAGTAGTTTGAAAATACGCACGTAGAACTTTAAATAAGATGTTTATATATATTTGATCTGGTAATTCCACTTTCAAGAATCTAAATAAATAATCTCAGATGCAGCAGTGATTTCAGTATACAGGTACTACCCAAGCTTTCTTTGTAAAAGTGGAAAATTTTGAAAAGAACTCTAAGAGAATGTTTGATTAAATTATGGGACATGCATAGAACAGAGTATAATAGTCCCTAAATTACTCATGCTAAAAATTGTAAAGACATTGGAAAATGTTCGTGATACACTGCCAAGTGAAACAGAAGCTAAGTACAAACTGTGTATAGAATCTGATTACAACTATGTGGGAAAATGTTTGCATGGGTAAAAGTCTTGAAAGAAATACAGTAAAATGTTAACACAGTTTCTTGGTTCCAGGATTACAGATCATTTTGGTTCTCTTTATAATTTGAATATCTTTGTGTTTCTGTGTTTCTTTTGTTTATAAACAACATGTGTTTTTGTTTTGATTATCTATTGCTGCATAACAAACCATGCCCAAACTCAGTGGCTAAAATAACAACCATTTTATCATGCATGACTTATGATTCTGTGGGCTGATGAGGCTCCATTTGGTGGCTCTTCTGCTCCACATGATGTTGAGTGGAACTGTGGTCAGCTGGGACTCCACTGTGATGGAATGTTCATGATGGCCTCTCAAGTGTTTGACATCTTGGTGGGGATGGTTGGAAAGTTGGGTGCAAGTAGGTCACTGAGACACTAGGGCTGCACCCTCTTCTCCATGCATCCCTGGATCTCCTTCTCTTCATGGGGTCTCTCCATGTGGTCTCTATCAAAGCTATCACGATGCCAACGTGGCTGATGCAGGAGACAGTAAATAAAGGACTCATCCGTAATTCTTCTGGAGACAATTGAATGTATCCTTGTGCGGACTCCAGCCTTCCTCGGGTCAGGACTACCTTGTGCCAGGAATCATGCTCACCTCTGGGAAAACCCATGTGACAATGCTCAGCGTTCCTGCTCTTTGGGATCTAGTGGTCTTGTCCAAGAGACCAAATATTACATTGTATGTCTTCCAATGCAAGTGCTTTGATACATGTAGCAACAAAGGCTCAAAGTCCATGAAGCAAGGGAAGGGAACCTATCACTGTTTAGGAAAGTTGGGTCAGATTTCATGGAGAAGACATTTGTGCTATGTGTTGGAAGGAGAGTAAGGGTTTCTGAAAGGGAGTTTGCACATTCCAAATGGACAGAACAACAAATGCAAAAGCACATAAAAGGGAATAAATTGATCAGTGAAAAATAAGACTTTTAGAGCATTTATGTACCTGTGAATGTATATTTATATAGATGTTTTGTGAAGCTGTGTAATGATAAAGAGCACAATTTTGGAGCAATACTGGCTGAACTTCACTCCTAGCTGTGCCATTTATTAACTGTGGGTACATTCCTTGATTTCTCTGCATCTTAGTTTCTTATTTTGTAAACAGTAATAATAGTGTGTGCCTAACTCTGACTACCTTAAATTGAATGGATATATAACTTCTTCCCTTAAACTCAGTCACAAACAGTAAGTGTTTCTAGGAATTGGAATGGCAGTGCATTTCATTTTGACTGTGTAGATGTTTCCCTGGCATAAGAGATGGTGATTAGTGTGCAGAGTAGCTGTTTCATTGATTATATTGCCCTTCTTCACTTTCATATCATCAACAGAATTCATAGAGTTGAGAAAAGGACTATTTGCATGAAGTTTTTACAGACCTAGAAATACCTGCATTTAATGTCATGTTTATATTGTTAATGTTATGGTTTGTGAAGTTTGGAATATAGGAACTAGTTCACTATGTATATTATATATGGAAGAATGGGTCAACTACTGATTTAGGGTTCAAAGTCAACTCAATGTTTTGGGGTTACTCTTCTTATGTTCTTTTTTTTGAGGAAAATGGAATACCTTTCTTTTTAACCTTTAGTGCTTGGAAACATGATAGGTACTCAAAAAAAATTAGATTCTGTCCAATCCTCTTTAAATTTCAGTGTTCTCCTTAAGAGGGAAGAACTGGAAGCTTTGCCTCCCTCAGGTCAAGAACATCTTAACTCACAAAAATAATCTTCTTTATGAGCGTCATGCAGGATTAATTGGCTTTCTCCATTTTTTATTAGATGTCATCTATAATAAACTTCTGGGTATCTATTAATTTTTTCTAGGGTCTACAAATGCCCCAATCAATAAAGCATTCTGACATAGTCAAAAATTTGTCTTTGAGCAATTTCAGCATTGACAAAGATAAAACTCAGTTTAAAGCCTTTGTTGTATATGGGGAAATTTTACATTTTATGTATCTATGATGGTATCTAGAATCTCCTGCTTTCTAAGATGAGAATGATTTTACCAAGTCTGTAACTAACAAAGTCATGGAGAATTAGTCAGTAATTTGGGGCATATTTGCAGAAAATTTAATTGCAAACTTAAGTGAAATCCTTCCAGGCCATACATTTACAGTTTAAAGAAGGAAGGGAAATATTAGTCAGAGAGGATTGTCATCAACAGATTTTTAATAGAAACTACTATTTTTTTATTTTGTATTTTATATTAAGGTATCATTGATATACACTCTTACGAAGATTTCACAAAGAAAACAATATGGTAACTACATTCACCCTTATTATCGAGTCCCCCCCCCATATCCCATTGCAGTCACTGTCCATCAGTGTAGTAAGATGTCGCAGAGTCCCTACTTGTCTTCTCTGTGCTACACTGTCTTCCCCGTGACCCCACCCACACCATGTACACTAATCATGATACCCCACAATCCCTTCTCCATCCCTCCTCAACCTCCCTCCCCCACCACTCCCCTTTGGTAACCTCTAGTCCATTCTTGGAGTCTGTGAGTCTGCTGCTATTTGGTTCCTTCAGTTTTGCTTAGTTGTTATATTCCACAAATGAGGGAAATCATTTGGTATTTGTCTTTCTCTGCCTGGCTTACTTCACTGAGCATAATACCCTCCAGCTCCATCCATGTTGTTGCAAATGGTAGGATTCGTTTCTTTCTTATGGCTGAACAGTATTCCATTCTGTATATATACCACCTTTTCTTTATCCATTCATCTACTGATGGACACTTAGGTTGCTTCCATATCTTGGCTATTTTAAATAGTGTTGTGACAAATGTAGGGGTGCATATGTCTTTTTGAATTTGAGAAGTTGTTTTCTTTGGGTAAATTCCTAGGAGTTGAATTCCCAGATCAAATGGTACTTCTATTTTTAGTTTTTTGAGGAACCTTCATAATGCTTTCCACAATGGTTGAATGAGCTTACATTCCTATGAGCAGTGTAGGAGGGTTCTGCTTTCTCCATATCCTCATCACCATTTGTTGTTCCTAGTCTTTTCGATGTTGGCCATCTTAACTGGTGTGAGGTGATATCTCATTGTGGTTTTAATTTGCATTTCCCTGATGACTAGCGATGTGGAGCATCTTTTCATGTGCATGTTGACCATCTGAATTTCTTCTTTGGACAAGTGTCTGTTCATATCCTCCACCCATTTTTTAATAGGGTTATTTGCCTTTTAGGTGTTGAGGCATGTTAGTTCTTTATATATTTTGGATGTTAACCACTTGTTGGATATGTTGTTTACAAATATATTCTCCCATATTGTAGGATGCCTCTTTGTTCTGCTGAATGTGCCCTTTGCTGCACAGAAGCTTTTTAGCTTGATGTAGTCCCATTTGTTGATTTTTGCTTTGGTTTCCCTTGCCCGAGGAGATACAGTCAGGAAAAAGTTGCTCATGTTTTTATTCATGAGATTTTTGCTTATGTTG